AAAAAAAAAAAAAAAAAAAAGAAAATAATGTATAGTTAAAAATAAAAAAGGCAATTACCTACTGAATGCCTGCCTTCAGATCCAGTGTGTCCTTCCCTCATTGCTGAAGTGGTGAGAAGATAACAAGCCAGAGAAAGGAGCCACAGACCTGGCTGGGAAACTGCTTTAATTCCCCTCAAGGGCCTTGGAGGCCCAGTCTTCCCTGAGCATCACATTCAAGCCTCTGTAGAGGATGTTCACTGTCTCTGAACGCTCAGTGTCCCTTACCCACTCTCCTCTTGCAAACAAAAACCTATTCTCTTAAGTATAGGAGGCCCTGCCCTGACCTACAGACTTGTCAGAGGAGTGGGCTCTCTGAGCCTCTGAAGGTGAGCCTGGATGGACTTAAACCAATCATCATATCTTACCTTTTGGGCCAAAGTAGTTGGTTCAGGGATGAGTAAATGACTGCATTTAGTAGTATTATTAACATTATAGTAATATTAACATTTGCTAGAGGTATCTGGGAAAGAACTTTGTTTTACCACAGAAAAAAACATGCGGTGAAAAAATGCTCTATTTAGTTTTTAAAATGCTCTGACTTTTATGAGAGGCATGAATAAGGAGGGTAACCTTTGGGGCCTGTATACAGCTATCTAGGAACCATGAAAATCAGCAGCCACAGAATGAACCTAATAGAGGAAGAAAGCAGAAAGCAGAGAGGAAGGATCAAACAAACAGGTTCTTAGCATCAGAGGTGTGCTGCTGCATCAAACCTTGCCTGAAGCACACTTTACCTTTGCACTTTTCCCTTTGGAAAGGCAATAATGTCCCTTGAACTCTGGGTCACTTGCAAGTTTCTAATGCTTATAATCATATATCCTGAAGTAAAACAGCACCTCCTCCAGGAAGCCATCCCAGGTAGCCACAATTAGAATTAATCTCCACCTTCTCTGTCCTACATGCTATACAGCTTAATCCTTTCTTTCAATGTATTGTACAAATTGGGCTATGTTGTCAGCTATGGCTGGGTAACAAGTGACCACAAACTTTAGTGTCTTAAATAGATGATTTAACTCATGATTCTGTGGGCCAGCAATTTAGGCAGGTGGCCCTTCTGGTCTCAGCTGGGCCCCTGCCCCATCTGCAGTCACCTGTGGGTCTGCTTTGCACGTCTGGGCCCTTGTCTGGAATGAATGGACTTACTCTGCTCTGCTCCTCTGCTTGTCAACCCCCAGCTGGCCAACCAGACTTGTTCTCATGGCAGGGATGGGATCCAGGAAGTACAGCAGAAGACTATCAGACTTCTTAGGGCCTGCACCATTACTTTGGTATTCTATTGGTCAAAGCAACTCACAAGGCCAGCAGAGATTCAAAAGGGGGGCGGGAAATAAACTCCACTTCCTGACATACTGAGAGGGGTGGAGAATGTGGTCATTGCTATGATTCACCCCAAGTCCCTTAACATAATTAACTGTGTACTTGCTTGGCTCCCTCAACATTATGTACCCTGGGCAGAGAGGACTTCTCTGATCTTCTGCAGCCAGGGGGATCCTGTGGGATGGAGCCCTTGAGGCCATCTACAAACTGTAGGATTGAAGTGAGGAGGGGCAGCCAAGAAAGAACAGTAAATGTTCAAATAGGCAAATAGCCCAGAGTGGGGACCTTAGTTGAGGTCAGAGACCCAGGCTCCACAAGCTCTCCAAAAGCTAAGTGCAACTTATCTCATGGGCAAGGAGATGCCTGGTCAGTGTTCAGTGTCAGGACCCCAGGCATTCGATCCAGAGCCAGGCACACAGTGGACCTCTGGCCACTGAGCATTCTGCATTGGCCTGCCTTTTGGGAGCCCCACGAAGGGAGGGAAGCCAGTCCATCCTTGCAGGCTCTGGCAATAAACTTGGGGACTAAGGACCCTGGACTCTGGACCAACAGAGAGAGAGCTCCATAGGGAAATGAAACTTCTCTTCTGCAGCTCCACAGGTCAGGCAGGTACAGTGTCACTGAAATTCTAGAGCCATCCTAAGTCTTGGATAAGCAGGAAGGAGTAAATCCTGCCTGAGGACAAAGGGCTTAGAGATTAAAGGTCAGTGGTTCAAGTGGTGACCAGAGAGCCAAACCACTCAATAACATTGACTTCAGTTGAGACCTATGAAGAAACTTAGTCTGACTCCCCCATCTGAAGAGCAGCAAACTCAGGATCAAAGGGCAAACATGACCTTTCCAGGATCACAGTCGGGCCTGGGTACAGACCTGCCTTCCCCTTACAGATACCCTGTGCTAGTCCCTCCTGAGTCCTTCCTCGTCCAGCCCTCCCTGCAGTGGCACCGTGCCCTGTCCCCAACACAGGAATGCAACACCGACACTGATGGCATTTCGTCTTTATTTTTCATGCTTTCTTGAACAATTTGGAAAAAAGAAGCTTGTCATTAAGGAGCTGTCATCCAGAGGCCAGGGAGAGTCATTTCCACCATGGGAGCCACCTGCCTGTTCCCTCAGGTCCCTCTTGGTAAGAAGAAGAGGGTACCTATCTTAAGTTCCCCAGGAAGACCCCAAGAGCAGACCCAGCACCAACAGCAGACCCAACAAAGCCCAGGAGGAAGTTGGATGCCGTGGAGAGTCCAGCTGCCCCTGGGGAGAAAGGAGGGTGAATTTAGAGGGACAAGAAGTCACAGTATCTCCTGGTTGGGGTTTAAGACTCAGAAACTTGGGGACCCCCCAGAAGCCTGAGGTCCAGATAGCCCACTCCTGCTCCCCAATTTGACTTCCTAAAGCCCCAGCATCTCTACTTTGGGGAGGAGCTGCTGCAGATAGCTGCCCAGAAAAAGAGACAGGAACTCTGGTGGTGAATCCTCTAGCAACAAGGAAGACTGTCTGAGAAATCCCAGGCTTCATCACCTTCCACAGGCCTAGAGAGTGAGGGACTGCCCAAGGTTTTGAAGTGTTTACCAGAAATAAAAACCTCCTAGGCTGTACCCTCCCAGGCTGGTCCCATCCCCAACCAGAGGAGGAGATAGTAAGGAAGACACAAAGGACCCTGAACACTGAGGATCCCTGAACCGCAGGGAGACTAGAGACTCTCCCTGAGACCCAGCCTCTGGGCTGGAGCCTCTCCTGGCTCTGGTCCTCCTACCTCAGACTTACCCACTGACTGCAGAATAGCCACCAGACTGCCAGCAGAAACTCCACCCCCGTTGGCAATGGCTGCCGCAGACATCATCTTGGCCGCTATGGAGGAGGCAGCGATTCCTGCCTTCGTGAAGCCAATGGCACTGAGCACCATGGGCACAGCCCCCACGGCCAAGGCTGTGGGGGGAGAGAAGCTGAATGGGGGTGGGGGCTCAGGGGAAGAGACCCCCTTAGGAATTCCTTGACAGTTTCTGGGGACTTTAGCATTTAAAAGACAACAGCTTGGACAGGGGCCCAAGGTGAAGAAGAGGTGGTGGGGGTAGAGCCAGGTGGGGCAAACAGCTGTCTTAGGAGTTCCAGGCACAGCCCTGGTTTGTCTCTAACTTGCTATGTGAGGATGGGAAGTCACTGGCCCTCAATGGCTCAGGGGTGTGTGTGTGTGTATAAATGGGAGGGAATAAAACATTGTTGTGTTTACTTAGTATTAAACCCCCTTCCAAACAATACCTTCCTCATGTGCCCATTACATGTATATAAGAACTAAAGGAGAAGCTGGGACTGGAGGGGAAGCGAGGAGTGCAGGGGAGGAGGCACAGCTTTCCCCTGGAGTACTGTTGAGTATTACTCTCTGTAGGCAGCTCAGGGAGAGGAGGGTGAGGGGCTTTAGCTAGCCCCCTTAACCGCACAGCCATCCTGGGCCAGCGCCCAGGTGAAGTCCCGGCAATGGAACCAATCCAGGTAACTCACCTCCTCCTCCGATTGCAGAGGCAGTCACCACCACTCCTAGGGAGAAAAGGGGAGAGGGCTCACAAGTCAGCTAGATGATGAAAACAGGATGAAGGCCCCCCTGGCCCGTCCTAGGCTGGATCCGGGAGGCCTAGCCCCTACCTTGCCCTGGCCCCGTGGGGCACCAAGACTCACTCAGCATGATGAGGCTGTCCGGATTCCTCTCTGCTCAAGAAGTGGAAAAAGTTTCATTTTCCCTGGGTTGACGTTTCCCCTGGGGTGACGTTTTCCCGCCCAAACAACGGAGATTCCACTTGCTCTGGGAGGAGCAATGTTTTATTTCCCATCCCTCACCCGATTTATACACACAAACACACCCCTGAGAGCCATTGAGGGCCAATGACACCCGGCGGGGCACTACTCTGCCCTAGAAACAGAGAAGTTTCGATTTCCCGGCGGTGACGTTTTCCTGGCCAAACAAAAGAGATTCCGCCGGCTCCTCCCCACCCCCAGGCGGGAGTACTAAGCTGCTCGCCCCCGCCCCGCCCGACTCTCAGGCTGGCTGGGGTCCCCCTTGCGGGGGGGTCTCTCCGGCTTGACCAATCTACCAAAGACAGCAGCGCTCTACAGCGCCTCAAAGCCATAGCAAGCGGGCCACAGGTCCAGGTTGTTGAGACATTTCCCCCATAACCGAAGAGCTGTTTGCTACAAACGCCAGAGAAGAACAGTATTTCGTTTCACCCCGGAGAGAGACCCTGATGGTTTCTGGCGCCCTTCCCTCCGGGGTGTCTGCCCTGCGCGTGTAAACCCCTCACCCCGCCGAGGTCCAGGCGCACTGCGCACACTGCTTTGCAAATTACTGGCTTAATGGAATCGGCCATCTCGATTTCCCCAGCTGTGTGATATTCTTCCACAAGGTTCTTTTTTCAAGTCGCGTTAATCGAGGTGTCATTTACCTAAAGTAAAATTCACACTTGCATGAGTTAGGGTGAATTCTGAGGTCGTGGAACCACCCGCTCGCATATAGAACATGTTATCACCCCTCCTCCCTGTCCCCCGAACTTCTCCCCAGTTCCTTTGGAGTGACCTCCGCCGGTGTCAACCACTGATGTGTTTCCCCACACGTTCGCCTTTCCCAGAACTTTAACGTGATATGTAATTGTCATCAAATATTCTGTCCTGTTCAATATGCCAGCTTCCCCCCACCTCCACATTAAGGGTTTTTTTTTTTTTTAATTTAATTATTTCTGAGACAGAGTCTCACTTTGTCGCCCTGGGTAGAGTGTTGTGGCAATACCGCAACAACCCTGAACCTCAGACTCTTGGGCTCAAGTGATCCTCCTGAGTGCTATGGCATCATCAGAGCTCATAGCTGTCTTACTCTCTTAGGCTCGCGGGATCCCCACTAGCTCGGACTACCGGCGCCCTCCAAAACCACCAGCTAGTTTTCCCTATTTTTAGTACCGATGGCATCTCTCTCTTGCTCATGCTAGTCTGGAACTCCTGAGCTCAAGCAATCCACCAGCCTCGGCCTCCCGGAGTACTAGGATTACGGGAGGGGGAACTCGCGCTCTTGGCACGCAGTGCTAACATCATAGCCCACAAGTATTCCCTGTATATTCCTAGAGGTGGGACTGCTGGGTCAGAAACTGTGCTTTTTTTATGGCCCTTGATTCTTACTGTTAGTAAATGTTTACAGCCCCCCAGAAGGCCATTTTTTTAATCATCAAGTTCTAGTTTTGTCATTTAAAAAACACCTTTGTTGATTTAATGGGTGAAAAATGCTGACTCGTTTTAATTTATGTTTTTTTACCACTAGAAAGGCTAAACTAGTTCTATTTCTACATTTGTTAGGTTTACGTAGTCCTTATTTTATAAATTATCATTTTTTATTCTTGGACCTTTTATCCTTTGTTTTTTTCTTTCATGATACATAGGAATTAATGTTATGTTAACTTCCTTAATCCATTCTCAGAAATGTTGCAAATTCTTGTTTCCAGTTCACTGCTGTGTTTTTATGGTTTTTCATATAAAGGTGTTTAGTATTTATGCTAACTTGCCAATACTTTGCTATTTTTATTTTTGTGTGCCTAAAAAGGCCATTTCTGCTAGCTATGAGATACACGATCACTGGTATTTTCTTTAGATTCTTCTGGGGTTTCATTCTTTTAAATTAACCTTTAAATAATCTAGAACTTAGCTTGGTACATGAAGAGCGCTTTACCTATCTTGCAAATATTGCCACCCAGCCAGGTTCGTCTGAGTGCTGCCCAAGAGAAAACCAATATCCAGAGACAGCAGGGTTCACAGAGGAGAAAGGATTGATTCCACATAGTGCTAAGCAGAGATACAGGAAATTTCTCTCAAATCCACCTCCCCAGGAATTGAGGAACAGAGTTTTTAAAGACAGTTTGGTGGACAAAAGATTAGACAATTGGCTGGCTTCAGGGTGGAGTTGTTAGTCCTTCAGTATGGGCCACTGTCTGGGTGGTCAGGTACTGGAATACAGGATCTTGGGTAAAGTGTCCAAGACAATTGAGTCAGTTCCACTTTCTGGATGGGTCCATGCCATCCAGAAAGACAGAATGCAGGAAAGTCCAGAATGCAGGACCTGAAAGATATCTCAAAAACTACCCCTAGGTTCCAAACAGGTGATGTTCTTCTGTGAACAACTATGCCTGACTCCTGGGTAAAGAAGCAAACAGTGGGAACAGCAATTATTATCAAGCAAATGAGGGAACACTGGCTGAGTATCATCGTTATTTTAGCAAAGACTACTCACTGGAGGAGTTCTGGGGGCCCTTACTCTAGTTCTCCCCTTGCACTCCTTCATCAGTCTGTAAGGATGGTTTCAATTATGTCTTAGCCTGTTGTTCCAACATTATGGATTAAATCATCTTTCATTTCATCTTTGGTTTGATAGTCTATCTTTGTATTCAAAACACATATACTAGTCTATATACCAGAATATGTGTTTGGAAATTTTCTATTCTGTTCCAAAGCGACACCTCTTCTAGTAACAATATCACACTGTTTTAATATTTATAAATGTATTATTTGACTTAACATCTGACTGTGCATAGCAGTATCACTCCAGAGATATACATTTTTGTGAAAATTAAAAATTATTTGTATAGGCTAGGTGCCTGTGGCTCAAGCAGCTAAGGTGCCGGCCATATACACCTGAGCTAGTAGGTTCGAATCCAGCCTGGGTCTGCCAAACAACAACGGCTGCAACTAAAAAATAGCCGGGAGTTGTGTTGAGTGCCTGTAGTCCCAGCTGCTTGGGAGGCAGAGGCAGGAGAATCCTTGAGCCTAGGAGTTGGAGGTTGCTGTGAGCTGTGATGCCACGGCACTCTACCCAGGGTGACAGCTTGAGGCTCTGTCTCAAAAAAAAAAAATTGTAATACTTAAGTCACATTTGACTTCTGTAATTACAAGAGATATAAGATACAGTATACAAAATAACAAGTATCACCAGCATATTTTGAGTATTACAATTTTAATACAGTTTTTTCCTTTTTTAAAATGTATATACATATTTTTGGCACCTTCTGTATGCATATAGATGCATGCATACACACATGTGCTTAAAAGGAAAATCAGTTATATATACATAACATAAAAATACTTAGGAGAATTTCATTAACTAAATTGTAAAAGTCCTCTTAGATTTAGAAGCAGAATACTAAGATTTTAATTAAAACTCAAAACTTAAGAATGTCAATAAATTAATATTAATTAAAAAACCCAAATAGGCTTTACTGGTTATAAAAGCTGCCTTCAAGGACAACCCAAAACTCAAATGTGTACCAGCTACTTTGTTAAGCTCCCCTGAGTACTGCCAACTGGCCCTCTTTTGATTTCTTGCCATATGAAAATAAAGACCAAAAGCTTGGGTGGTGCCTGTGGCTCATGGGTAGGGCCCTGGCCCCATATACCGAGGGTGGTGAGTTCAAACCCGGACCCCGCCAAACTGCAACAAAAAATAGCCAGGCATTGTGGAGCCTGTAGTCCTAGCTACTTGGGAGGCTGAGGCAAGAGAATCACTTAAACCTAAGAGTTTGAGGTTGCTGTGAGCTGTGACACTACAGCACTCTACTGAGGGTGACACAGTGAAACTCTGTCTCAAAAAAAGACCAAAAGCTTAAAGCAATGCAAAAAAGCACTTATACATAAGGGAAAAGGTTATTAATTTGAGTACAATGAAATTAAGAATTTCTATGTAACAAAAGGCACTATAATAAGAATGAAAAGTTTATTTCACAATAGCAGAAAATATTTGCCATACACATAACCAACAAAGTCCTGATATTCAAAATATATAAAATACTCTTACAAATCAGCAAAAAGGCAAATAAGCTAGTAGAAAAATATGCAATAGACTTAACAAGAAACTACAAAACATTTATATTAGTTATTTATATAATTAATACATACATGAAAAGATGTACAATCAATCTCATTACAAATCAGGGAAATATAAATTAAAACCCCGATATGAGGAATTCTATTGCTGGTTACAATGTAATAGGTTGTGAAAGAACTTTGCAACTGTTGCAAAGCAAGAAATCACCAGATAAACAAAAATTATATTTTTTCCTTAAAGCAAGTGTTACCAAATGCTCTGTAATGGCCAGAGAATAAATATTTCAGCCTTGCAGGCCATATGTGGTCTCTATTGCATATCCTTCTTTTTTTCTTAACAATTCTTTGTAAATGTAAAAACTACTGTTCTGATTTGCACAAAAACAGGTTGTAAGCTAGATTTAGACAGTGAGCCATAGTTTACCAACCTCCGCTTTACAGCCATTAAAGTAAATTTCTTACAGTCCATGATATGGACAAAGAAATTTAAAATAACTAAACTCTAAAGGAATAAGCCCATCCTAGATACAAGGAATAGCAGCCAATAAAAAAATTTTTTACAAGACATACAAAGAGCAGGAGAATGTAAACTACCATCAAGAAAAAAATCAGATAACAGAAACAGTTCCACAGATACACCATGTGTTGGAATGATCAGAAATATACTTTTAAATAATTATGATAACTAAGTTAAACAATCAGAAAGAAAGCATATATATATGTGTGTGTGTGTGTATATATATATATACACACACACATATATATATGCAATGATTGGAGAAATTGGAAATTGCAGGAAAAAGTTGGATGCCAGAAATCTTGAATCTGATCAATACAATATGTGAAACCATAAATTCACTGGATGGGACCAAAAGTATACTGTACTTCACAGGAGAAAATGAACTTGAAGACAGCTCAATAAAAACAATCCAAATTGAAGCATTGAAAGAAGGAAGAGGGCAGTGCCTGTGGC